AGAGAGAGAGAGAGAGAGAGAGAGAGCAAGCGCACTAGTGGAGGCAGGGCAGGGGGCAGGGTGCAGAGAGAGACACACACACACAGAATCTGAAGCAGGCTCCAGGCTATGAGCTCTCAGCACAGAGCCCGATGCAGGGCTGAAACTCAAAAACCATGAGATCGTGACCTGAGCTAAAGTCAGACACTTAACTGATTGAGCCACCCAGGTGCCCCTATTCTTTGGGATTTTCTAACATGTTGGATCACATCATCTGTGAATAGAAATAATTTTACTTCTTCCTTTCCAGTTTGGATACCTTTTATTTCTTTTTCTTGTCTAACTTCTCTGGCTGAAACTTCCACTACAGTGTTCAATAGCAATGGTCAAAGTGGGCAGCTTTGTCTTGATTCTGATCTTTGGGGAAAGCTTGCAGTCTTTCACCACTGAATTGGGTGTTAGCTGTGGAGTTTTCATAAATGCCTTTTATCATGTTGAGGAACTTTCCTTCTATTCCTAGCCTTCTGAGCGTTTTTATCATGAAATAGTGCTGAATTTTGTCAAATGCTTTTTCCACATCAACAAAGATGATCTTTTACATCTTTTCAAGATAAAATGCTTTAGTGCTAAAACCAGTGGTATATTTCAATGGAGAAGAGAACATAGAAAAAGTTCAGGTTGGGACACTGATCATCTGAGATAAAGGCAAAGAAAGCCCAGGGCTTAAAGGCTCCAAGGAAAGTAGATGGAGTATTAGGGATTAGAGAATGGAGAGTTCTAGCCCCAGTGCAACATTTTACCAAGCTGAATGGGATAAAGGTGAGAAGAGAAATGCCTGCTTTTTGAAAAGCTTGGGCAAATTGTTTATAAATTCTATACAGTGTACAACAAATATTAACTGAAAATTAGGACACATGCAATAGGAGAAATATAATGAAACAAGAAGCTGTACCTGTAAGGTATGAGTACTGCTTGAAAACATCAGAAGGTGTAGGTCCTGTCAGCAGAAAAACATCAATGATTCCACTCTCTGACATCCAATGCACATCAGTTCGAGATCTGACCTTTTGTTTAGCTGCAACGGGGCCCATCTGGGTCAGTGTGTACTAGAAAAAGAATGGAATGAGGGTCTGAAAACTTTCCCTCTAGCTTACAACACTCATCCATATGTAAGTAACTGGTACATACTGTTAACTTTCACTTGATTATATTGCAAAGACTTTGGTGGCAGAGAATTGCCACTACAAAGCCCAGGGCTATGACTACGCTAGTTTTTTTTGTTTTGTTTTGTAAGTATGACATGCAGCCATGATCCATAAGCTCACCTTTACTGCAGGCTCTGTATTGATCTCCACTAGCGTTTCTGAGGCATTCAGCCAAAAAATGCCTAGAGTCCTGCCTGGTTTGTGGGCCAGGAGATAAGGCACTGAACCATAAATGCCCATTTTGTCATGTATTTTATATCCATAGACATCCAGATTATAAAGACGGTAAGCATCGCCATCACTGAAACAAAGATGGGACTATCATCAATTACAATCACAAATATATTATTAATGAATAGCATAGCTCCATTCTCCCCTGCAAACACTTGAGTCCTATGCATCTTTCAAGGCTTTACTCGTACTACTTTCCTAACCAACCAAGGTTAATGTGATTCTCCTCCTTTGATTCCTTTGGCATCCCCTTCTGTGACAACTAGCATGCATGGTCTCATAGATATCTTTTTCTTTCTTTTTCTTTCTTTTCTTTCTTTCTTTCTTTTCTTTCTTTCTTTCTTTCTTTCTTTCTTTCTTTCTTTCTTTCTTTCTTTCTTTCAAGTTTATTTATTTTGAGAGAGACAGAGCAGGAGCAGGGGAGGGGCAGAGAGAGGGAGACAGAGAATCCCAACAAACACAAGAACTGTGAGATCATGACCTGAGCCGAAACCAAGAGTTGGCTACTTAACCGAATGAGCCACCCAGGTACCCCTTAGATATCTTTTCTGAATACCTCTTGTGAGGACTATTTCCTGTGAATCCTCTACAATAGAAGCACACGGTAAATATCATTGGCAAATTGTGTATTTCTCTGCTGCTAAAACAAAATGACAGATAGTGTCCTAACATGCTTCTACAGTACTGAGTAGGGAAAGATGGGGAACTGAATTGGGGTGGGAAGAATAGAGCTTGGCTTGGTGTGCGAGCAGCATAGTTTCTAATTCACTTGTTACCATGCCCAACTGTTGTGGAAACGGCATCTGAACCCTTGATCAGACTGTTTCTCTTTGGTTTTGCTTCCTTAGTCTGATGTCTTTGGCATTTACTTGTCAATAGTGTTAGTCTGAAATGATCCCCCTAAGGGAATCAAAGGTGACATGAGATGCCACAATTTTTCTTGTTTTTTAATGTTTTATTATTTTTGAGAGAGAAGAGAGCACAAGCAGGGGAGGGCGAGTGAGAGGGGGGAGGACAGAGGAGCCAAAGCAGGCTCTGCACTGACAGCAGCAGGCCTGATGTGAGGGGCTTGCACTCATGAACCATGAGATCGTGACGTGAGCCGAAGCTGGACGCTCAACTGACTGAGCCACCCAAGGGCCACAAGATGCCACAATGTCTCATTCTCTGGCTCAGAGGTTGGTAAACACCTTTTTCTAGGTCAGTGATTTTCACCCTGTATTCTCCCCAGGTTCCGCAGAAAAGCCTAGAGAGGTGAAAGCAAAACCTAGGGAGGTGGTATGATGAAGCTCTCTCTCCTGCTTCAACCACAATAGTTCCATATTCTTACTTCCTCTGTATATTTTTAGGTTCAGAATTACAGTTTTATAGTTCTCAATTTTTTGCCAAAAATAAGATAAAAATGGAAAACCACTGCTCAAGGAGGACAAGACCAGGCACATATTGGCTCAGGCTCAGACATCTCACATATTTTCCCTTCAAACTTTTACAGTCCAGGGGTGCCTGAGTGGCTCAGTTGATTAAGCATCTGACTTTGGCTCAGGGCATGATCTCAGTTTGTGGGTTCGAGCCCCGCATTGGGCTCTGTGCTGACAGTTCAGAGCCTGGAGCCTGCTTCGGATTCTGTGTCTCCCTCTCTCTCTACTCTTCCCCCGCTCATGCTCTATCTCTCTCTCCTTCAAAAATAAATAAACATTTAAAAAAAAAAAAACCTCTTACAGTCCAGAAACCAGAGCATCCTGTAAGAATTTTTGTTTTCACTTTACCCAGTATTTTTAAGTTGGTGTGATTCTGCATGTTGTGGGATCCCGTAAAGATGCTCAAATCCGTGCAAGGAGAAATCCAAACCAATGGAGGCAGGGCCTGTAAGGACCAGGATATAGAATTTTGCTTCTTAATGGGACAATCATTTAAGGAAACTCAGTTACTTATGAGTGTAGCAAGATGACTAGACTAGGGATTGAGAGACCTGAATTTGCCCTGATCAATCAGTAAATCATGGTGTGCCCTTTCTGTAAGATGTTACATTTAGGTACTGTGGGGATACAAACATACACAAGGCAAAGTTCTGGTCACTTGTTAGTGTTTCCTTAGCTATATGCTTGAAGCTCTCTGTGTTCTCATTTACAGTAAATATTCTTTCGATCTGTAAGGCATACCTATAAAGTTTTAGATTTTTTTTTTCTAATCTAAAATTTCCTAAAATGTACTTCATGCTTCTTTGCATTAGGAAACAAAGGATACTGAGCAATTTTAATCTTCACTAGATGAAAGACTGGATGTCTTCTGCCTGGTCATTTATTCTTACTGCATACAGGGACTATAATGCCAAGACCATCAGGAGGATCTTCCCTGGCTCCTCAAAATATCCCTTCCCTATGACTGTAGATACGTTTTTGGTTTTGTTTTTAACCAAAGACAAGGTCCTTTATTTAACAATTATTTTAGAAATATGGGAAAAATGCAAGTAACTAGGAGAGATAACAGACTTAAATTCACTCTTAGGTAAAAGTATTTGACATCAAATGGTCCTTATTTAAAGGAATTTATGGAAAGGGGGTGCTATAGTGAAGGTAAAAAACATTATGATGTTACAGAAAGGAAAGCCCGATGGCCCCCCTACTTATAAACTTTGGACACATTGTCAGCCCTGATCATTATACTAAGTTATAGATACAGATGCTAGAACAGCAATTCTCAAGGAGTTAGGGAGGATCTGTTATCCTACTGGGTAGGAAGGAGGAAGGAGGAAAGTGAGTATTTCTTCCAACTATATAAGCTCCAAGTATCTGAACCATATATCCAAAAGAGACAAACTTTTCACTCCCCACCACACACATACTATCCCTAAGTCTAGTGAGAAATTTCACAGATGGGTATGTGATACTTGTGTGAATGATGGGGAGGCTTGGAAAAGGTTGAGAACCAATGGCTTGGAATATTGGAGCTAATGAGCTTTAGAATTTTGTTTCTCATCACTTGACTCTCATAAAAATAGAATGTGGGATTTGCGGCTGTCTGTATACTGAGTAGTACCAGCAGTGTGCTGACCTAGGCCCTTAACATGAGACCACTGAAGGTACATACTATTTCTCTGTTGATATACATTATTGAACAATAAAGGACCCAAATCTGACATTTCTGTTCCCCTTACAGAAATCACTTCTTTAGGTGCCAGAGCTCAAGGGACTTATAGGTAGCAACATTTAGTGATTTTGGCAAGATCTGCTTTAATACTACACAAGTTTCAATTTTACCATTAACTTTGACATCCACAAATTTTCCGAATTTCTCCTCCCACAAGCCTAGATCCTCTTGGTTTTCCTGGTGGCACAAAAAAAGGAGCAAATTGAGTTTATACATTGCAACAAATGTGGTTACCACAACAGTACATTTTGTTTGGATTATTAAAAAATTAGACTGAGAAAATGAGTCTGTCTTTTAAAAGACCACTTTGTGGGGCACCTGGGTGGCTCAGTCGGTTAAGTGCCCAACTTCAGCTCAGGTCATGATCTCACTGCTCTGAGTTTGAGCCCTGCATCGGCCTCTGTGCTGACAGCTCAGAGCCTGGAGCCTGCTTCAGATTGTGTGTCTCCCTCTCTCTCTGCCCCTACCCCGCTCATGCTCTTTCTTTCAAAATTGGATGGATGTTAAAAAATGTTAAAAGACCTGTTTGTGATGTCAGTATATTTAACAAATTTGATCTGTGTTCTACATAAATGGCAGTAATCATCTTCCTTATGAACTGAAGCTGACATGAATATGATTTTTTATTGTGGTAGAATAGACCTAACATAAAATTTGCCATTTTAATTATTTATTTACTATTCATTTTAAACATTTTATTTATTTATTTTTTAAGTAATCTCTACACCCGATGTGGGGCTTGAACTCACAACCCTGAAATGAGGAGTTGCATGCTCTACTGATTGAGCTAGCCAGGTGTGCTACCCCACCCCCCCCCTTTTTTTTTCATTTTTACCATTTTATGTAATTTAATTAATTAATTAATTAATTAATTTGAGAGAGAGGGTGCAAGTGAGAGAGGGACAGAGAGAGAGAGAGAATCCCACAAGGGGCAGAGAGGGAGAGAGAGAGAAATGGGGCTCACATGAGTGTGGCTTGAGCTCACCCAAAGGAGGGCTCAGGCTCACCCTATGTGGAGCTTGGCTCAAACTCACAAATCATGAGATCATTACCCGAGCTGAAGTCCAATGCTTAACTGACTGAGCCACCCAGGTGCCCCTCATTTTCACCATTTTAAAGTGACATTAAGTACATTCACATTGTTGTGCAACTATCATCACCATCTATCTCCAGAACTGTTACATCTTCCCAAACTGAACCTCCACACCCATTAAACAATAGCTCCCCGTTTCTTCCTCCCTCAGCTCCTGACAACCACCCTTCTACTTCCTGTCTCTATGTGACTACTATAGATACATAGATTTCTTATAACTAGAGTCATATAGTATTTGTCTTTTTGTGACTGCTTATTTCACCTAGTATAATATCTTCAAGATTCATCCATTTTGTAGCATATGTCAGAATTGCCTTCCTTTTTAAGGTCGAGTAACATTCCGCTGTATGTATATACCACATTTTGTGTGCACATTCATCTGTCAGTGACTCTTGGGTTGCTGGACTGTTTTCACCTTTTGGCTACTGTGAATGGCTACTTTCCCTTTCAGATATAAATCCATGAGTGAAATTGCTGGATCATATTGTAATTCTATATAATTCTGAGGAATTGTTTGACATGAGTATCTTTACACAGGCCAAAATGCTGTGAAAGCACTTTGAAAAATGCAGTCTTGGGGCACCTGGGTGGCTCAGTCAGTTAAGCATCTGAGTTCAGCTCAGGTCATGATCTTATGGTTCATGGGTTCGAGCCCTATGCTGGGCTCTGTGCTGACAGCTTGGAACCTGGAGCCTACTTCAGATTCTGTGTCTCCCTCTCTCTCTGCCCCTCCCCCACTTATCCTCTGACTCTCTTT